TCTTCACAGTAACAGAAGTGAAGGAAACACAAGACTGGATAAAAATTATATTGCAAAGGTAGAAGAGAACAGAGGAAAAACTACTTCATCTAGCCTTATATTTTCTTTCTAACATGAAATTCACCTGCTCCACTGGTGAGTATCCTGATACAGCTTGGTATGTAGAATACCTAGGGAAATCCAGGCTGAATAACAGTGTGATACACTGCGGGATCGCATTTCTGTTACTCCTTCACTTCAACCCCACTCTCCATTTTGCAGTTTCTAGTCACATACTTTCTTTCAAATTGACCTTGAATTTGACAGTCAACTCCAACACCACACTAGATTTACAAATACGATTAGGGTATGAGAACAGGATACATCAGGGAGACCTTCCCCAACCAGACCCAGTTAATCATGCTACAGAACACATACCCACGAACATAATTTCCAGTTTTGTGACATTTAATAAATTAATCAACCCAAGCCCATATACAGAGAGAAAAGAAGGCAGCTCCCTCTACTGGGTGAGACAATGCAGCTCCTCCTGTCCTTCCCCCCACACTTCACAGAACAGACCTGTGCATATTTAATCCTCCAATATTATTTTTTTAAAATCCAGTCACAAGATGGTATTGAGTTGTCTAATTACTGCAATTCCAGGAACTGGCCTACAGAAAACAAATTTCTGTAGTTTCTATATTTAAAAGCACAGAGAATAAAATTATTTCCATAGGTCTGTGTAAGAGTCTGATGAAGTAACATCCTATCTCTAGGTGAAACACTTGAAAACCCAGCGTCCCTTATGTCAGCGTCCACTGTCAGCCCAGGTTAGGTCTGTGTAAGAGTCTGATGAAGTAACATCCGATATATCTCTAGGTGAAACACTTGAAAACCCAGTGTCCCTTATGTCAGCGTCCACTGTCAGCCCAGGCCTGGGAATAGACAGAGTTCAGCAGCGTTAAGTCATAGTGTGTATTTAACATGTGGCTTGTCTTACTGCTACTCAAACTCTTTCTTGTACATCCCTGCCTCAAAAAATAGCCCTTACTTTGTTTAAGGGAACGGCTGCAGCTTTCTACCTGCATGAGGCTTCATCGTAACGGCAGCTGCATGCAATTGCTAGCGTGCAGAACAGAGTGATGAAATATCAAAGCACAGGCAGACAGCAGATGATGGCACAAGTAAAAGGCAATGATCCCTATTTCAAGTACTTATATTAGGATCTTCTAGGACAACTACAATCTTTTTCCTTTCTCAGTCATCCCATCTGAAACACAAGGCTAGAAGTAACACTTTTCATTCATACAGCATTAGTGTTTTTCTTAGTGTTAGATCTCAAAACACTCACAAAAGAGGGTAAGAGCTGTCCGCTCAGCCTGTAACAACCCAGCCTGCGCCAATTCCCTTCAAAGGCACTGCCAGATCAATAGCCAAACTGCAAATCTGCGACCTCTTGAACCACAAAGCTGGTCTTAGCTTTGCTACAAGTTTCCACAGCAAACGTGTGCAAAATAAAAGCATGCCGTGTCCAAGCTGTTCGCCTCTAAAAGCAGAAGTTACAGATACTGCTTCTTTGGAGGCAACAGCAAAAACTGTCACTGAGGAGAAAGTGTGGTATCTGGAGATCTGTTCAAGCTCTTCATTTAGAACAGATGGGGATAAAACTCATGACCTGGGCACGCCATGCTTAGAGCTAGCAGGCACTCACCAGTCATACAACCAAGTGACTCCTCCAACACAAGATGTGTTTCTTTTCACTTTTCAAAAGATCCCTTCATGCACTGAAGGAGCAGCAAAACTCTTAAGGTTTTTCATCACCTTGACTTTCACCATTGGACATTTTCTTTAATATTACATGATTCCTGTCCTTGAACTTCCTACAAGTACCAGACAATACTTGTTCAACCTTTGAGAGCATAGGAAGTTTTTGGAGCTTTTTTAGTCTGAGATGATTAATGGCAGAGAAAGAGAGGGAGAAAAATCATATAATACTTTTCAAAACAGAGAGATCACATTCTCAAAGTAACATTTATACCATTTAAAATTACCTAAGTGGCAAACTTGATACTCTGTTAAAAAATATTTTCACAAATTAATTGGATGAATGGCAACCAAAGCACGTCTATACCTATGTGCCCTGAAAACATATCCTTCTTACTATCAATTATTTTCTCAGACACATTTCTGCCTTCCGAAAACACCAATCACATCTTCTGATGAAAAAATAAACACCTCCATTTACTTCAAAATTATTTACAAATGGAGTAAAGCAGAGCTAAAAAAGCCTCCATTTGACAGCTGGTAACCTGTAAGAAACAGACCTCTGCTAAAGCAGAGACAGACACAGACGCTGTGGTAAAAATTAAGCAGTACTACAGATCCGACTTCGGACAGGCTCTTCACAAGCACTCTTAATTCACAAATTGCAATAGAATGACTACAGTAATGGAGAGATTCTGGAAACCTCCTCATCATCACTGATAAGGAAGGGCAAGAGCAACAACCTCCTCTTCTAACCCGTTCATGCCACAACAATTGCTCAACATTTGCACTGGAGTTGTAACTAGGGAAGGGGAAAGCAAAGCAGAAGAAAAACACATGACATGGAAACCATCCCCATCTCTGAGCATCTCCATGCTCTGCCTGCTCCATGGACTAACAGACTTTGGTCCTGCAGGCCTTTTAATTCACAAAATTTTATCAACGTGGCTGCAGTCCAGGAACAGCTCAGGTCAATCATGACTGAAATTCATGTGGCGTTCAGCTGCCCTTCAGCAGTTGTAGTGCCACGAGTTTCAATGAGTGGGAGAAGTTTATGTATAGTGCTGATAAGAGCTAAAGACATCCTTGGAAAAGGATGGCTATTCACTGTCTAATAAGCCTTGTTCCTCTACACGCCTTGTCCTCCCGAGCTCCCTCTGTGAGAGACCCAAAGGTGACTCAGTTCTTTTCTAATATGGAATTCTAGAGGAGCAGGAAACATGCAGACAACACAATCCGCCACAATATAAAGCAGCCATTCTCACTAAAAAAAACCACACAAAATTGCCCACTTATTTACCCGGAATGAAAACAAGCAACTATCTCATGGTCTGGAGACAGTATGAGACCTTCTTAAACAGTAACTGGAGAGCCATATCCAAACTGATATTCCATATAAAAGCTCTTGAGAAACAATATCATCATGCACCATGTAGATGAAGCCATCATTGACTTAAAAGTTACATAAGGAGAAACAGAATATATATAAATTCTAGACAGGTATGTTCTTATTGAAAGAAAGCAAAGGTAAACTGGCTATCGATATTTGCATTAATACCGACAGAAACCAACTGCTGGGAATTGCTGGGAAAACAGCACTCAATCTTTCCTTCCATCAGCAAAACTGCAAAACACTCCGCATGCCAGTGAGTGATTTCACATTGTCAAGGCAGCCAGTGCCTGTACTGCAGACAAACCCTTGGGTGACCTCATCAGTTCCTGGAGCACAGGCCTTGCTGTCAAAGCCAAATCCCAGCATTATTGTCTTCCGCCCGTCATCAACAGTCAGTTCTTTGCTCTTGGAACTCATCCACGCACACAGGCCAGGAGGATTTACCTGCAAAGTGTTACAGGTCCCCTTGGGATGAGCATTTTGCACTCCCCACCACGTTTGTTCTCTGCACTCTCCTTACTGAAGCAAACTGCAAAAGCACTACTCCCCTTCAGCCCAATACCCATGACTGTAGCTGCCACAGATGATCACTAGCATAGAGAGCACATGTAGTTTGTATACTCAGTGGTGAGCATAGAAAATCTGTGCTGGCACTGCTGGTTTTGGTGCTCCATGAGGGAGCAACTTCTACTCAGAGACCTGCGCTAGATTACACCAACGGCTGTTGCTTGATTTAGTGGATTCTGATAGTCTAGTACTAAATATCATTTTCATGGTAGTTCAAATAAAAGGAGTTTCACAGCTCTTGATCTTTGGAGGCAGGAAAGAAAGAAAATGATAGGCTGAACATTTGGGTGTTTGCTCTTCTCCAAAGCAGATTAGACATCAGTAGCTCCGGGTTAAAAGCTTCAATACCACTAAACAGTGAATTTTTACAGTCTCTCATGAAGATATCAGACACAAAGCACCACACTCCAATGTTTCTGAGAGCTCTCCTGACTTTTGCTCTTTTATTTTTGTAGAAATGTAAGATCAGGACAAAGAATTCAAAAGAAGAAGTTAAACTAATTCAGAAGGTGGAAGCCTAACACCCAACCCCTGCTCCCTGCCTTCCCCTCAAAATAATCCCAGAATAGACTAGCAAAATAGGATCTCATCAGGTGCAGATGTTCTTTCTTCTCTTCCCTTGCAGAGAAGCACAAAGTATTTGGACTGCCCCTGTAGACAATGACACCCAGAAGATTCTTATTTCACATGCATGAGACACATACGCACTCCACTGAGACACACACCTGAAAAAGAACCTTGTTTACTCCCAACCAAAGACAAGTTTGTAATTAATTTCTTTTAACTTTCCTGAGACTGCCTTACACTGGGGAAACAAGGTTGTGCAGTATAATGAACTGGCTAGAAGAAAATTAAACAGTAACAACTCACTCCTTGCATGGCCATCTCTAAATTAAAAATTTTTTGCATACCAAAGTCAACTATACATATGCCCTCACTGTAAACTACCAGTAATTCATACAGTTTACAGGCAAGACCAGGTTATAGGAAAAAACAGTCAGCTTCCAACAAGGACAGACTGCCTTATTCACTCTTGAGTTCCACCGCAATAAGACCTCCATTTCTCTACTGCTTGTCACTCAAGCATTTTACCAACATTGCTATTTGCCTGTACAGACTGTATAAATCTGTATACATTACTTTTGTATTTTGCTCAAACATTTACCACCTGCAGAAACAGAGTGCCCTCTAGCTCCAGCTGAACTCAAGAGAATTTTCCTGAGACTGTTTCCTTAAAGTCCAGCACTTACAGACAAAGGAGAGAGCAAGAGCATTCTGTTACCTGTACTCTTACCTGTTCTGGGGTCAAACAGCTGGTTGGCCTCCAAGTCTGTGAAAGTGCTGAAGCAAATGGGGCATTTAAAAGAGGCGCGATTGGTGGAGTCTCTTTCATCCGTCTCAATCCTCCTCCTCATGTGGTCCAGCTTGTACTTCACCACATTAACCAGAAGGCGGTAGTTGATGAAGTAGTAGTTATGACGGGTGGTTTTGCCATCTGGAGCTGTCTCTACCCTCATCCTGCATTTGATGAACTTGTCACCCTTGAGGGTGTTGAGGACAGCTCGCAACTGCTTCCTATCAAACTTCAGAAGCTCTAACATGTCCTCTTCCTTCACACAGGGGTTCCTGATGAGAATGTCCAGAGCCAAAGCATGTTCAATGCCATAAAAGCCACGCACCACATATTTGGCAAGGCGTTTGAGAGCTGCTGGGACTTCAGTGAGGACATCTGGGTCAGTCATAGCAGGTTCAGATCTTGAGCTTCATGTATACTGCAATGAAAAAAGGCAGATGGATTCTCAGCTAGTCTTCTCACTTCAGAAGTTTTGATTTATCTCACTTAGAGCTACGGAAAGGATGGGGTGTTTTCCATTTCTCTTTCCCAAGCCCTGTACTCTTTCCTTAGGTGTTAATAATGCCAATGCTGCAGAAGTAGAATTACAAAATGGCACCTCTCATTCAAAACAAAATGATGGAAAACTTTAAAAAGCGCACAAGAAATTGGTACCATAACATACGGCAGATTTCATTTCTACTCAATCACAGCCAATACACTTGGAATAAGAAAGCTGTCTTGAAGCTGAGCTCTAGCAAACAGCTTCATGATCAGCTGAGACTTGTAGCTTGGGAGAAGCAGAAAGAGGCAAGAAAGGTCCTAAAATAGCCCAAGAGTGGAGTAGTCCTATGGCCCCAGTTTTGTCACTTGACCACGTTGTAAGTAGTCCTGCCTGCTTCTATTCCTCAGGCGTCACTGGGCAGACATATTGCATGAGGACAGCTTGCAAGTACAGACTGGTATGCATTCAAGCAAAAGCTCCCAGATGCACAATGAGAACAGACAGACTTTTTCCTTACTTTCTGATAAATAGACCTTAGTCAACCGTCTGCAGCATGACAACTGTTAGCACTACGAACTCCTACATCACAGACTGCTTCAGCCTAGATCTTAGATGAGCAAATAGGTCCTTCCAAAGGACTGATTCTTCATTTAAAGGGTCTCACAGTCACACCTTAGAAGCCCATGGATAATATAGCATGATAAATGAAGTAAAAATCAAGATTTAGTGAACACGAAGAGACAATGTGTTTAAAAAGAAAAAAGTATTCCACCAAGTATCCTTTGAGTTATTTATCATGACTTACCATGCTGTCTGTGACAAGACAGTGACTTCTAAAGAAATACTGTGGTTTCACTTAATTTTTCTTCACCTTAACATTAAACGGCATGAATGGTCATGACAATTACATGCTTCTGTGACATACATGTGATCATATATAGTATCGTATCATGCAAGGAATTCCTCATATTGTCATCCCTGCCACAGACATAGCCAAAAATCAAACCCCAGCAGACAACTAACAGCAGTGGTTCTTCTGAAGCAGGCAGTTTTGTCCAGTGGAGAGAAAAAAGGAAGCAACTCCACAAGGCACAGAGCACCATTTCTCAGGGTGGTTTTGCACATTTTCCCTCCACTCTTATCAGTGGCATCTGTAGGCAATAACAAAATACCCCTCCACTCATAATGCACTTGGATTTCCATGTATGACATGTTCAAGCATGAAGTATTATAGGTGCTTTTGAAATATTCATTCAGGAGGTTGTACCTCCAGTTAACTTCAAATAAAACTCTGAATAGTCTTTTTCAATACGAGACTTCATGCTAGTTTAGAATATGAATAACCATTTCTTAAGGAAAAGGTTCCTTTAACTGAAGAAAGGCCCCACACCTTAATTTCTGTTTGTCATTGCTAAGTAATTTATCTGTGAACTAATACCATAAGTAGTAAAACTCTGTCAATCTCATTTTTCACTTTCATTAAATGTTTCACACATTGTATATTCACCTCCTCATCATTCAAGTCTCAAATAAAGGGAAGAGGAGAGTGACAGCAGAAGAAAGGATCTGGATGGGTATCCTATCATAAAACCTGAAATATCCGTTTTGACAAACACCATTACAGAACTTTTCTATAGGCCCCACACTAAGACATCCTCCTGATACCATCAAGCTCTACACATAACCAAGCAACTGATGACTCACTTCCATCACCTAAGACTACTGAAAAATCTGTGATCATTTATCACAGTAGCCTGCTTGGAGATTTTTTTTTTTTTTTTTAAACACAAGAAACACTGTCCTCTCAAGAAACTTCAAGCAACGCTCCAACATCTGCCCTATTCTACATCTGAGGAGGTATGTCCCTCTCAAGGGTTATGGCCAGTGCAACTGCAAAGCAATTAGGCTGTGGATTGTGGAACTTAACAGCGAGTAAATTAATATTGTCCTGTCTTTTCTGCCTTTTGAGTAAGAAAAAAGAAAACTACCTTCATTCTTTTATTTTAAAATGCTTCCCTGCTTGAGCTTTTTCTCTAACTTGGGGCCAAATGGTATTCACAGTGCTCAAATTGAAATGAAATGAACAATATCTGTTGACTACTGGTGCACAGGCTGAGAACAGCTTACAGAAAAGAATCCTTGGATGTCCAGCTCCAGCTTCCCTTCAAGGAAATTTAATTAAAATATGTTTATCATGGCATGAATTAGCCGTGAAACAAGTACTTCTAGAGTCAGTTAGCTTTCTTTTGCGTGTCAGATACATAATGATTTATCTCACACACAGGACAATTTTATAGAGCTTTGTGTTAAAAGGTAAAAGCAATAGCAATAAAGGATGCCCCACCATGAGTGAACTGTACAGTATTTTTGAATCTCTGAGTTAGACCCAATCTGAATACCATCACAGGACATTGTCCTTGAAAAACAACCTCATTCTATTGGTATTTCACAATCTTTCAGTCACTTAAAGATAAATCTTGCTTCTGACTGAATCTGTCAGCAACATACTGATACTATAAAACAATGTCAATGCAGAAGCTGGCAAGAAGCCAGCCAGAAGCCTTTAGTTATTCAAATTGATTAAATCTTATACAGAGTTTAAGCACAGTATAACATTAATGTAAAGATCAATTTTAAATAAAACCTGGCACCCCAGAAGAGATTTAAACAGTTGAATTTTGAAAGTCAAAAGGTTTCAAAGTGCTGATATCAAAAACAAACAAAACTTCTCTCCTCACCAATTCACTGTCCCCTAAAAATTCCTTGCAGAAAAACTTGGCAACACAACTTGTAGTGGACACAGTGACCTTCAGAACATCAGTTGAAAAAAAAAAAAAAAAAAAAAAGTGTTTTTAAATAAGCACATCTCACTCTGAATGCTTCGTCTGAGAGCTGACAGAAAACATTTTCTCTGCAAGAGTGTCATCGATAAGACAGCTGCAGATTTCCACAGCTGCTTTCAAAACAGGTTTGAGGTACAATTTCCCAAATAATACACTCAAACAGCTTAAAGTGAGACCTACAAGGGACCAATAAATAAAACCACCTCTAAAAGTATGTATTTTTCCCCTCGTTTTCAGCAATAGTTAGAGATTTAATAATATTTCTTAGTGTCAATCACTAGACATTTTTTTTTTCATCTAGTGGAACCAGGAGTTTTTACACAATTATTTCTTCTCCTCTATTGGAGATTTTTAGCAATGTCCAAATCCTCTAAGTCCTCAGGTAATAGTGGGCATCTTGAGTGTAACACTGGTTTTCTTCCAGGCATGGATATATGGAAATACAAGCATTCTGAAAACCGACCAGAGTCAGGTTTGAGGGGGGGGCAAAAAAAAGAAATAAAGCCAAAGAACAACCTTGTCAAGCTTTGCTACATGAAAGCCAACAATGCTGAACACAACTACCTTAGCTCTAAAAATGAACATGGATGGGTGTTCAGCAAACACCAGTTTTTATATTACATTGAGGCCTAATGCCAAACTGATCAAAAGCAAGGGCTCAAACAAGATCTGTATGGTTAGATGAAGGACAAATTTTCCAACACCATTCTAGATAATCATGTTCTCATTTAAGCTACAGGATACAGAACGATGGCACAAGAGTGAGCATATACTACTGCCAGAACTCACCAGGCCAGGCTCTAACAAACTGTTTCTCTAGGAGAGGCTGACATCTGGCCCACAAAGAATCCAAGGCTACAGAATATGAGCTGCAAATCCTTACTACCTTTCACCAGGCAAGAAAGATAGTGATCCAGCTCACAAGTTGTAATCCAGTGCCATGAGAATATCAGTTTAAAATTCAAAAGCACGGATTGCATCCCCGAGCAGTGATTTCACCTTCCGTCGAAGCAGTAAGTCAAGCCTGAATTAATCACGTGTGCAAAGAAATATGATAACATCTCCTAACAAGGTTTTAATGGATGTGCATCTGTTTCATAATAATGTCTGTACTGACCTTAATAATGCATGAACATCAAGGGACATTGTCAGGAAAAAAAAAAAAACACAAAGAAAAACAATGGCCAAGATACACACCTATGCAGGAAGAACCTACACCACCAATAATAAAGCACACTGGACAGGATGATATTCAGAAGCACCCAAAAGAAAAATTTCAAAAATTAAACATGGGCTTTATTAAAAGAGACAGCTGTTGGGGAATTGGTCCGGGTAATTACGCGAATACAATTCAGTATTATGGGTGTAGGAGGAAAGTTATCACAGTAGGACAGCAACCCTAAATATACATCTGGTTTTGGTGGGTTTTGGGTTTTTTTTTTTAATTGATCTAAATAAAAGAATAAATATTTACATGGCTATAAAAGACAACACTGGAAAGACAGACCCACAGTTACACAATACAATCAGATCTGTTGGGTGAAGAATCTCAGGCTACAGTCTGCAAAACAGATATCATACCTCAGGTTGAATGAAATGCATGAGGTGTAGGTTCTGAGCATAACTAGGGATGTCACAAAGGAAATAAAGATGAGAGCAAGTGACCACAAAAGAAACCATACAGTATGATGGAACCAAAAACCATATAGAAGTCAGAAATTCAACTGAGCAAACATCTCCACTGGTCAGGACTTTCCTGATGCAACCTCAAAGCAACGGAATTATTCTTCTCTACATACAAAGATTTCAAGAATTCTTCAACAAACTCAAACAAGAATTGTGCTAAGGATGTTGGATCTGTTTTTCTTTCTGCTTTTCCTAACTAAAGTTGAGACTATAGTCAAAAAATGCTCTAAGTGATACCTAGAAGCCACAGTGTAGATGTAACTAGAACTACAAGTTATTAAAATGTAAATCAGCCAGTGAATTAACCTGAATTTTTATCCAACACCACGAATGAACACCACCTTGTTTTAACACATAACTTTCAGGCTTATATTAATTCCACTAGTAATTTTACCTCAAAAAATTTAATGAAGCCTCACTGTTCATAGATTTGACAAGGTAAACATTTTAAAAGCAGGATCTTGAAAAAGGAAGCAGACTATTCTTCAGACTCATTTGCATATACAAACCCTTTATAACACCCCAGATCTCTTCCGGAGGAAAACCTGGGAGTTGCAGGGTTGGCTGGGAACCTAGGTCTATCGATATACTGTTCACACTTGGAAAGGTGCTTCCTATTTTTCCCCACATCTAGTTTAAATTGTTAGCGCTCTTTTTCACTAAATCTTTGAGACCAGATTTTGCTGATCTGTTTGGAAAATGTTTCTGCAGGCTTCTGCCCTAAGATTTAAAGCAAAAAAAATTACTTGCTTACACCACTGACAGTTTCTTCAGGAAAAATCAAAATCTGATTACAAGTAGTGAGTCTCTCACCTGTAAACGTGGCAAGTACAACAGGCTTCCAGGGACTCCCAGAAGCGTATACCATATCCCACTCCAGAAGTCACTTGCAAACACCAGATTCTAGTTTTTTAGTTTCTCATTCTAATATTTAAATTCTGTCTTCCAGAAGATGATGAGGTTCAGCTGAGAGGAGTGATTCTGAATCTTCCTGAGTATGAGGAGGGAAGGCACACATTTCAGAACTACAGTGGGAAAACATGCCATGAGGATTTTAAATGTCTGTACAATGTAACCTCAGACACTACTTGTCCTTTCTTAGAAAATGCAAAATGATACAGAACCTTCCATTTTCAAGTCTGCTTTTTTTCTCCCTTCTCTGTAGCGAGTGGATGATCTATGCAAGGTGTCCCTATTATCCAGAACTGCCTTTATCCCACATCAGTTGCAAACCCAAAGTCTTCTGGCGTTTTATCAAAAGCTTACTGAATTCCATTCCCTGGAGACTTCAGGAACACTCCTGTCCAGCTTTCCTCCTGCACTACATCTTGATGAGAAATCGTGTATTTTCATTGCAAGACCTGCCCTGAAGTATTAAAGGAGAGAAGAACAACCTGCTTTTGCTCAAATCCTACCTTCTTGTTGGCATTCCATGAACTGAAACCAAGACGCCACAGGTATCAAAGGGTTTTCTTCACTAAAGATGAAAAGCTGTGCTGCAGTTGCACACAAAAAAGCAAAAGGGCCTGGCTGAAGTTGGGACATTCTCACCTAATTTCACAAGTAAAAATATAGGGAACCACCCACGACAAGGCCACAAGGTCTGACCCTGCAAGGCAGAAATTGAACAATGCAGGCTCAGGGTGTAATTTTCAATCACGTTCATAATCTAAAACCGACATAAACAATAGCAAGATGTCAGTAAATTAAAGGACTACCTATGGGCATATATACAAACAGATGTAAGATTCAGAACTATTTCAAATGCACATTAGCGTTAACTGTTTACAGTTGTAGCTGTAGAAAAAAAAATGGAGCACTATTTATGGAAGGCCAAACTTAGCGACTAGAATGGTGAAGGTACAGTTTCCTGTTACAGCTAAAGTTAAGTTACACCCTCCCTCCCATAAAGTAGTCTTTTTTTTTTTCCTTCCCAGCCTTCAGCCACAACCCCCACCATTCTGTGCTCATTTTGACAGTTGCCGATTCATGTAGCAAGGTGAATCAAGTTGATAAAACGTGAAAAACTAATATGCCAAAAAAAGTAGGGCATTTTAGAGGGAAGGCAAGGGGGAAAAGGTCAATAACTGAATCATTTATGTTACCAGACTCAAGCCTATGCAAAGCAGAGAGAAGAAAGCACGGCTAGGGATGTAGAAGAGTGAGCTTTCCCCACATGGTAGCAAAGACGTTGAATTGACTCAATTGTAAAGTGAAACCACTAGAATATTTTAACCATGGACATCAGAAACTTAAACTTTACACTCTAATTTGAACATATACTAGCAGCATAATATCTGTTATTTTGGAGATATCTCAGCATTGGCCCTCACATAACGAAGATAGAAGGTTTTAGGGGTTTTTTAAAAGGGAAAATTCTAAGAGCATTTCTCAGAAATATCAAGCATAAGAAATCATGATTACACTGAATTACAGTGCGCTTAATCCCAGCATTCCTTGTTAAGTTTCTGACAGGAAGAAAGCAGTAATTATTTTTCATATCCTGGATTCAATGAGAACTGGAACACCACACTTCTCACAATGGGAGATGATGTGAGTGGTATTGTCTGACTTTCAGGAATTCCAGAAAGAAGACTAAGATTTATTGAAGTACCAGGTTCAGAAAAGTTATAGTGCATCAGGGTGTAGCAAACGTGTATATAGTGTGGATGTAAGCAATGAAGAAACAGAAACTAAATAACAAAATGCCAGGTTAGCTTTAATTCATGAAGTTTCTTGTTTAGAAGAATTCCCTAAAGCATCCTGTGTGAATGTGAGCTATAAACAGTATCTTAAAGGAAGTGGAAGGTAGGAATGAAACTCCCATCATCCCTTATTGCTGCCAGAAAGGTATTTGCTCCTCTCCTAGCCATGGAGCTAGGAGAGCACATGGCTCTGCCCTCTCCCATGCCAGCTCTGGCACTCACAAGACCTTCCTGTGCACCAATGTGCATCACTAAACGGCAGAAAAATACCTTTTCTTTTTCTTCTCCTTTGACTAGGTTTTTTGACAGTTTAATCAGCTAATGGAAAAGTCTGATGAGCAACAGAACCAGCAGATGTGAGAGGATGCCAGTGAAGGGGAAGAGATGAAAGAAGAAACTCCACCTTTTGTGGCTGAAAAAACATTAAAACGCCCATATTTCATGAAAATGTACTTTAACTGTGCACTGCTGAATACCTTTCTCAGAATGTCAATCCTCCTTACTCATTCTAAGGCACTTGTAATGGTACAAGCTTGACAGCTGGACCCATTTAATAGCTTAGTACCATTATGAGATGTGACGTTCATCTGCTTCTTAGGGAACCAGCAAGCTCGTGAAATCAGAAGAAAACTAATGCACAAAAAGAAAATATCATGCTGACCTGGAGAACTGAATGGTTCCACCGTACAGGCTCAACTCATGGCCAAACACGGCACAAAGGAATGAGACTAAAGATGTCCCTTTTGACAGCAGCAGGCTGTTGACCAGACACATCCAGCTCATTTCACTGCACCCTAGATTTCCTCCAGTGCCAATTACTCCTCAGATTCCCACAATCTTGCAGCTTCCTTCAAATTACAAATTGCACAGACTTCCTAGACTATAGTAGCAGACTAAGCTTTAAAGCCAAGCAACGTAGAGAACCCCTTATACTATTCGCAGGGCTTCCTATTCCCTACCCACTTTTATGTGCTGAGTTTTAAACATCCGGTTGTGCAGGCTCCTGTAGGACAAAAGACATGAGGGGCTCAGCAGTATTTCCTAAAAAAGAAAAAAAAACCGCAAAAAAACAAAAAACAAAAAAAAACCACAAAAAAAACCCCACCCCCCCC